GAGTATAGCCTTTTTTACTTTGTCAGTTCAGGTTTTTGAAGTGGCCTTTCCTGATTGATCCTAAACAATAAATCATAATAACATAGAAAAGTTTCGATTGGAAGGCCTCTTAAGAGGTCATCAAATCTGACTCCCCTGCCCTGGGCAAGCTCATTTTCAAGTAGATCAGGTTGTTCAGAGTCCTCTCTGACGTGACCCCGAACGTTGCCAGGGATGGGGCACCTACCAGCTCTCTGGGACACCTCTTTCACTGTTTTATCATTGTTGTAAACAATCTTGTTGTAAGCATCTTTTTATTTATACCTAATCTAAATCAACACTCCTTTAGTTTTAAAAACATTGTTCTTGTTCTATTACAACAGGCTCTGCTACTATGTCTGTCCCCATCTTCCTTATAGGCACCCTACAAGTGCTCAAAGGCTTTAATAATGTTTCCTCAGAGCCTTCATTTCTCCAGGCTGAACATCTTCAACTCTTTCACCCTTTCCTTGCAGGAGAGGTGCTCCAGTCGTTTGATCAACAGCAAAGCCTCCTCTGGACCTGCTCAAGCAGGCCCATGTCCTTCCTGTGCTGGGAACCCCAGAGCTGGATGCAGCACTGCACTGGATTCTCATCACAGCAGAGCAGGGGGACAGAATCCTCTTCCTTGCCCTGCTTGCCCACAGGGCTTTGCGTGCAGCTCAGGACATGATTGTTTTACTGGGCTGTGAGTGCACACTGTGGGCCCTTGTCCAGCCCTTCACGCAGCAGGGCCCCAAGTCCTTCTCCAGAGGCCTGTTTGTGATCTGTTCATCCCTCAGCCTGTGCTGCTCTAAGGTGCTGCCCCAACACAGGTGCAGGCCTTTGCACTTGGCCTCGGGAGCTGTCAGATACCTCAGCCTTTTCTTTGTACATCACTGTGAGTTTGTAAGCCTTGCTTACCAGATGGGGGAAATGCTTTCTTCAACCTTCCTTTTCTCGCTGACATACCTGTAGAAATCCATCCTGTTGTTCTTATTCCTTGCCGAGTTCAGCTTCCTCTTTGTCTTGGCTTTCCTCGCCCCATCCTGCATAATTGGGCTGTGTCCCTAAACTCTGCCCAGGTTACCTGTACCTTTTTCACTGATAGTGCATTTACTGTTTTTTTTTAGTTTAACCAGCAGGTCTCCACTCCTCCGTGGTGATCTCTTGCCTTCCTTGCCCTACTTCCTTCACGTGGGATGGCTCATTCTTGTGCTGCATGGAAAGTGTCCTTAGAAATATGCGAGCTCTGTTCTGCTCCTTGAAGGCAATTTCCCAGGGCAGCTCTGCTGCCCAGAGTGCCACTTCCCAGGGGGTCCTATTGACTAACTCCTTGAGCCCATTCAAGGGTTTTTTCTTAAAATTCAAGATCCTGACTTTTCTGGAAAGCCATACAGCTCAGTTCTGATAATCTGATGTGTCAAAACTGTGGTTGGCATCTTCTGAAAATAAACAAGCGAACAAAACAGACCCACACACTCATAGATGACAATTATGAGTAAATTTTGGTTCTGAAAATAAATGTGAATGTATATTGCTCTACTTTAGATGACAGATTTTTGACATTAGCTACCTAAATTCCATAGAATAATTTCAAACTACATGAGGAAGAAACAGAACAGGTTACACGGGCTTTTTGTGGCACATTTTGTTTAGGCAGGACCAGGACACTTTCCATGTCAAGTAAGTGGAATTCAGAGAATCATGCCATCAAAATGCCCCAGAAAGGATTTAACTGGCATGTTGCAAAATATTTTTAGAACTGAAGTCTACTAGAAAGATGATAAAAATACTATCTTTTACTGACACTATTCAGTCTATGCTGACTTTGATGGAAGTCATAAGTGTAGTGTTTGTCTGGTAAAGTGGGCCCATCTCTTTTTCTGAATCTAAAACTAGGAATCCTTGCTTTTAAAAAGCATGGATTTAAGGTGTGTGTGTAAGAAATGTAGTGGTGTTTGCAAAGGAGGTAAGTCATCCCCCCACCTGCAAGTCACAGTTGTTTTCCTCACAGTACTCTGTGAAATTACTTGTTTAACACAAATTGGATTTCGTGTCTGCCTCACAGATTGAGTCTTTTATAGCATGGAACAGTTTGTGTTTGTCCTGGCTGGACTACACAATTGGGAACTTTGATTTGATATCTTCTGACATTTATAGACTCCCAAGGAATAAAAGTGATACATTCTTGATATAACTGATTTCAGTGCAAACAAAGCTATGATTACTTTACTGGAAAGATTGCTGTTTTGTTTATGTTTTTGATTATAATCACTTCAAGTTTTTGATCTCATGAAGACATTGAATAGGCTTGATGTAGATTTGCAGACCAAGGAGATGTTAAAGAAAAACATTTAGTGAGGGTAGAAAACTGCATAAATCAAATTATGACTACAGGAAGTTTCTGAGCAGCAGTACTTCAACAGATGTTTCACCCTGTAGTTAAGGAAACACTTATTGATTTTTTGGGTTTTTTAAATGCTGCATCTTTCACATGAAGTTTGCTTTTCATGCTGCTTAAACTGATGCTATTATAGAGTTTCTGAGAGCTTTAATTCAAGAAAGAAAAGTGATGGTTGCTGAGGACACAATTCTGCTTTCACTCAATGCAACTATCTCTTGCTGTCTGTGTGAGTTGGCCTGAAAGAGAGTAAATTTCTGAAATGAAATTTCAGATTTGCATTCTACACATTTTTTAAGGAAAATTAGATTATTATAAGAAAGTGGGATGGTTTATATTCCAGAAACTTTGGAAATGTTTTCTGAAATTTTTGAGATTCTTCCAAGTCCGTGTATTTTTTCATATACTTTTCCTGCTCTTTCCTATATTTCACTTTCATATGTCGTTTCCAAGGAAATCAGTTATTTATATGAAAATATAAATAGCTCTTTAGGTTCACCAGGTGATGTTTTTAGGAAACTTGTTCATTGCAAATAACCTCTTTTTTCTTTCTTCATTTGAAGGGTGGAAAATTGCATAGTTCTGGTCTACTTATAAATACAGTGATAGCACCATTTTGTTTAAATTTGATTAAAGCAAATTTCCAACACCTTCTTTTCAAGAGCCTAAAATCAAAATTTATATCAATTATGACCTACTAGCCTGCAACTCAAAGTATATTAGTGCTTGTCCGGGTATCAGTCTTTCCAAGCTGATTCTCTTCAGCACGGAGTCCTTCATTTCTTCTTGTATTCTTGACATCGGGTTTCGTGTCACCATGTGCTTGCAACATCCTTGCTTCTGTACAGGAGGTCATGGTTATCTCTCTTACAATTCCCTCACAGCAAGTCCTCTGCTGCCAGCTCCAGTGCTGTCCACCAAGAGGGCTGGAAGTTGTAACTCATCACGTGTGGCCTTTTTGTTCGGGAGGCAGGTCGTGCTCCAGGGAAGGAGTGGGCTTACATGCTGCCTAATGCATGAGCAGTGGATGCAGGGTTGCTACCTGTCCAGCATCCCAGGAAATAGGACATCCAGGGGCCAGACTGCTCCCAGATGGAAACAGGAAGTGCAGAGGAGGACTTACTGCTCAGAGGGAGTCTGTGATAGAGTAGAAGACAACAGAAGAAGCCAGGCATGGAAAGAACAGTGATCCGTCCACACAGCATGGTCTAAAATCCCATGTCAACTCATTTTAATCCAAACACATTGACATATGCCTTCCAGGCTTCTTTTTGAAGCCAAAGTTCAGTTCAACAGGAATATTTACTGCCAAAATCAAATTCATGTGGTAGAGAACATATGCATTCCGTATGTCAGATCTTCTGTATAGTTCCATGCACTTCTTTCTGATTCCCATTTGTTGTCTGTTCTAACAACATGTCTGCTGCAGGTATAAAGACTAGATAATTAAATCAGATTTCAAAATCAGTGGTGTAATGAATATCCTGCAGTCTCATTTGTGCCTCTTCACTGCAGTAGTACATGTACCTTTAGCCAACAGTGTGCAAAATTAAGGATTTGGTCATTGTTCTCCCAAAGCAGCTGCCCTAAGCTAACAATGGCTTTTAGCTACCTGATATCTCTCTGCAGTTGCTGCAGGACTAAATATGTTTTCATCTTCTGGCCTAAAGTATGAGACATGAAGGTTCTCTGATTTTCACTCCACTGGATGACTTATCCCATAAAATATTTCAATTTAGCTAATTTAAAACATTGAGATATAATTTTTAAGTGAGAAAACTGCTGTAGTATAGAAGCATCAAAGGATATATGTTTTAAATTAAATCCCACTATTTTGTAATTTTGACATTGAGAATTGAAATGTTTCACCCAGAAAAATCCTGAGAAATAGACTTTTTTAAATGAAGAGGTAGGCAGTACTTCTGTTTCATATACTATTACTATTTATTTCTGCTGTTAGGCCACTTTTTGCAAGTACTGGCCTTAGCATTGAGGAGGAATATAAAATGGATTCTCCTGAGCTTCAGAAAGATCAACACGGCCAAACAAAATGTTTTCTTTGAGTGGAGTGAAAAACAGAGAAATTTGTTTGTTTGCTTATGAGGTCTTGTGTAGCATCTGTAGTGAGTGAATTGACATTCAAACTAAAATCAAAACCACTGACAACAAAAATGTTTCCAGTTTCATAAAACTAAATACAAGTTGAATTTTTCTAACTCACTGATAGAAAGGAGTCTTCAGTTCACTTAAAAGTGTTGGTCTCCCTCAAATTCAGACTGTCGGTGTGGTTCTTGTTTTTGTTAGGAAATCCCACTGAGCTGATCGTTTGAATGACCTTCTGTCATGCAATATGTGGGAACTGGTATGAAAACTTTGTAGATGAGGGACCTCAGCACAATCAACATTTTCTCCTAGAACAGTGTTTTCCAGTTTATCTCTTATGGTTTCAGCAATTCCTGAGCTTGAAACCTGCCCAAAATAACCTCCAGTGATCTGTTGACTCTTATTTTTGACCTTTGTCCCTGAAAACAGTTGAAATGAAGTTACAGTGTTCACTCATGTCTGTTTTTATACTTAATATTTTCTTTTTAAATTTCAGACTGATCAACGAGTCTTTGAGGGACCAGTTGCTAGTTACCATCCAGAAGACTTTCACATACACCCGAACTCAGGCACAGCACCTCTTCATTATCCTCATGGAGTGCATGAAGAAGAAGGAGCTGGTATGTTGAGTTCAATGCATTGTTTTGATCAAGTCTTTTATGTGCCTGTTGGAAGGTATCATAAATCTGATCTCTGTTTTCCAGACTCTAAAGTGATATCATGCTGACCTTTGTTTACTCAATATTTTTGCATTTAAAGTGACTAATGCAACAGATCTGTTCCCTTGTGTAAATTCCTCTACATCTCATCTGACAGCATAGAATGTAGCTAGTAGGATATGGATATTACTATTTTTCAGTCATCCTCAGGCACATCATGACTGCAGTTCTACTTCATGTGACTACAGAAAGCAGAAAAGTCATAATTATGCCTGGGATTGTATTTTAATGACGCTGTAGAGTTGCAGAGGTATCAGGAGGGCTCTTACCTTACTGTGGGGATACATGGCATGAAAGGAAAGCAGCTTCTCTCTGAGGCTCATATACTGCAGTGGCAAGGCTACCCTTGAACACATGTTTGTATTCTCTTGAAGAGTACAAGATCTTTCAGCAGTTTCTTGGAGATCAACAAGGCTGCTTTTGCAGGAATATTTTTGAAGAAAAAGCACATTGAAAAAATTTGCGATTCAAATTTTTATCTGTCACAAACTGACTGGGGATTTCATATGCCACAAACTGACTGGACAGACATGCTCAAATTTTATAACTTAATATGTCTTCTAAGGTTTGGGTTTGATTCACATCAGAGCTTCTGGGAACTCCAGGTTGATGATAATGCTGTAAAGTGAATTTTCTGTAACATTTCTGGTCCACTGATCAGAAAGAGTGATTTTTTTAGGGCTTCAGCATTAATTATTTTGTGGCCATCTCAGTAGCAGTAGTAACAGTAGTAGTAGTAGTGGTAGTAGTAGAAGTAGTAGTAGTAGTAGTAGTAGTAGTAGTAGCAGCAATAGTAGCAATAATAATATATAATTTTAATAATAATAGCACCTACTTGTAAACCACTGTTCTGCATATAGACATAAAAAGCATACCTATAGATAGAAGATAAAAGAAAAGAATGAGGAAGAGAGAGAGGAAGGGAGAGACAAACACAAAGGCAGGAACAAAAATGGAATGACAGATAGAAAGCAAAGGCAGATGTTGAATTATCTAGACTAGGAAAATGCATTTCTTGATTACTCCAGGCATCTAAGTCCAGAAAAGGTTGTCAGGCTTTGAACAAACCCTGCTACTGAGAAATAACTGAAGATTCTGTCCACAGTATTCGCATTAAGATTTTTAGTCCAAGCAAGGCTGTGCATTTGTTACAGGTTTTTTTGCAGATATGCAACATCTGTAACCACTGACATTCTCCACCTACTAATCTTGTGAAGAGTTATTAGTGAGGAGATGGTGTGCCCAAAATTAAGTATTCTGAATTTGAATTTGTAACACTAGCCTAACTATATGTAAATATAATACATTAGAACAGTTGTTTCTGTCTAGTACCTAAGTTGTACTCAGGTAATTCCAACATCAGTATGCTAGGAAGTTTTATGTCTCAGGTGTGGTTGCTAGGCTAATGGTCCTGTAAAACTCACAGCCTCCTGTATGTGTGTAAAAGAAAGGTGGTGCTCGTGGTGCTGAGGGCAGCATAACCAGAGGAAATGGATGAACTTGGGGTTCTGAAGTACTTGCAGGGGTGAATGGTGACTTCAAAGATGTCCTTTGTTCCTGCAAAGCTAGATGCTTCACATTTTCACATCTGTCCCAGATTTTGTCCTTCCTCAAGCTTGACTCTCTGATTTGGTTGTTGACTTAAGGAAAAACTCTGCTTGATGAGCTGACCTTCATTAGTCTGATCAACTCCTGAAAAAATAGAAGGAAGATGCAACAGATTGTCTCAGATTGCTCAGCAGCAGATAGATTGATCTAGCTATTTTCTCTATGTTCGTGGTCAGTGTGCCTGCCTATCTGATTCTGTAGCTGCTGGATTGATAGAGAACAAACTAGACAGTGCAGGAGAGGCTTGTCCTATTTCTGTGTGCCACTAAATAATTGAGTGCAAACAGGGTGCAGCCAGGAGGATTCTTGTAAAGTACATCAATACAGATGAATCACAGATGAGGAGAACGAACATAAAATGCAAGTAACAAATGCAAGGAACAAAAGGTTTTCTTGGAAATAATAAGACCCCCAGCCGGGAGTCACTGTAGAGTTGAAAAATTGGGGTGACATCATAGTGCTCTCGTGAGGATGGGACCCCCCAGCTCTGACCCTAGTGAACAAAGCTGTGCATATTCTCCTTCTCTAAGTCACAACGGAGACTGCACACCGGTCAGGCTTCCTAACCCCGAGCTGATCACTTTTAATAAAGGCATTAAAAGGAGAAAAATTCTCCTGCCCTGTTTATTTCATCAGTTATACAAATCTGATGCAAGTGTTGTAGCTAGGGAAAAAGCATAATCATAGCAAAAATTACCTCTTTTCTCAGATCATGAGATTTTTTCAAGCTCTGACATCTTGGATTTCACTCTTAAAAAATGATCTCTGAATTGTACACCCAGAAAGTAGTAAGAATAAGAATAAGAATAAGAATAAGAATAAGAATAAGAATAAGAATTGTATGTTCCATTTACTTAAGTTTAAATTTTCTGTTGAATTAAAGCTGAAATGAACACAATTAATGATAAAGTGAGGCCCTAGAAGGGGAGTGAGTGATCTAGGTGTGTTAGATTTGCAAGACAGAAGAATTTTAACTTCTCAATTCAATGAATAATTTTTATGAAATTACATACTTATCTGAGTTGACATTACAAGCATCACAGTTTTGTTCAGAAATGTGTTTGGACCAAGGTGCTTAATGTGGGCTAAGGTACAAAAATCTATTTAAAATGAAGTAGACTACGCATGTCTGTGTACATATAGCTGTAGATTACAAGGGTAGGATACTATTTTATAGCTTATTTATGGAGATTGTCTATTGTCATGTTTACATGTAATTCTTTTAAAAGATTCTGCCAAGACCTATTTTATGCTAAAATAAGAGCATGAGGGGTCACCACAGCTAAGTAGTCAGAAAGCAGGTTAGGAGACTTCAAGCCATCTCTGAAAAACACATTGTGTTGGGTAATAGCTCAGAAGTCTGTTTTCAGCTTTCAAAGGAGTATTTACTTCTGTCTCAATAAAAAATTAGTCTTAGTATTTTCCCTTAAAGATAGTAAATCTGGTGTCTGAGTTTTCTGACAAATACAGGCTGCTCTGCTCTTTGGGAGCACTTCATTTTGCAGCTAGGACTGGCATGTTGCTGGAGTGCTTTTTTCATAAATCATTATGTGAATTTCTCAGAAGCCAGAATGCCTTTTCCAGCAAGCTGCATGGGTCTGTCTGTGGAGCCTCATTGGGCAGCCACTGGGAAAGGCCACTTTGTCAAGCCAGAAAGGTCTGTGTCCTTGAAAACAACCAGATCTGTGGCAGTGAGAGATGTTTGTCATAAAGCTAATTATTCCAAAATAGTGTTTTGAGAGTAAATACACCTAATCTTTTATTCATTTAATAGAAAATGGAAATTGTTGTGAATCAGGATAGGTCCCATCTAAACACCTTAGTAATAAAAAATGGCACATTAACTCCAGCAGTAATGTGCCACCTGCTGGTTAAATTTGTTTTCTTATTACTACCATGGCCATTTTCCACTTAATTTGTTTCCTTGAATAGTTGAAGTTTCAGTGACTACGTTAAGCAAACTGATAGCATCATTGCCTTCTAGTGCATTACAAGGAGGAATTGCAGAATAAGGAGAGTGTGGTCGGTGGGCATAGGATTGTGTGCATGCATTCATTCATGGAACACATTTCCACCAAGAGGCAAGAGATCCAATTTGATTAATTTCCCACTAAAAGAAAAAAAATAAAATCCCGTCTCTAGCTCACAGCAGCAAGTAATAGATATTTTCCTCTTGCCTCTAGTGTTCCCTGTTGTTCCTGTACCACAGTGTATGGTTGCTGTGGCAATCATGATGGCTGCACAGGGACAGTGCAAACCTCATTTCAGCTTTGTGCTGCTGATGGGTATGGCAGTAGGTAGTTCCAGATGACTGAGTGTGCAACTTGCAGTTCTGGTGCTGTCAGATTGAAACAAAGGAGGTGTCATGCTGTAGTAACTGAGCACATTGCGCTGAGATCCAGACTACCTGCATCATGCAGGTGCTTGCTATTTATTGTGCTTTTATGTCAAACAGAGGTGGATCCCCATTTTCCCAAAATACACAGTGCATGAGAAAGTTGCCTTGCATGGCCAGTATTCAAATGCCAATATTGCCACACTTTTGTAGGGCTTTGACTCTTCTTAATTACTTACACAAAGTACTGGGAAGCTGTTGAGTCATTGTTGAAAAAAGTTGTTTGATTTACTCTGAGCAGTGCATGGGAGAAAAAAAAAAAACAAGATTCTTGGGAAGCTCAATATCAAACTTTTACTTGCAAACTTTAGAACTTTTAAGGTAGAATAAGATACTTGGTTAATTTTAAAATGTAGCAGTTTTGGTTAGAAATTCAACAGTATAAAAGCATAAAAATTAACACTTAAGAAAATGTATAAAGGAAAAGAAAGAAAAAGAGAGGATAAGACTAGAAAGGTGTGTATTCACCGCCTGTGGGTCCAAAGATGAGACCTGATTGTTGCAATTTCTGTGTCTGTTGGTTGAAGTGATGTTCGCAGTCTCGATCCATTGGGGCTGGGGGAAGGCCATGCAGCACAAAGTCCAGCGGGTTGATGCTACACTCGGGCTCCGTGGGAATGCCCTACTCCTCTGCTGGAGTAGGGAGTTTTACACAGTAATGCAATACTGTGGATCATGGGACACAACAACGTTACAGCTGCCTCTTAATTCAGTGTAGTAGAGTCAATTATCAGAAAGGATGAGTACCTTCAGGCTATGTGGGAAGCTGAGCCACCTGTGGAAGGACATTGGCATGATAAAAAGCACTATCCCGCCTCGCAGGATTTGCCTCCTTTCAGCCTCTTCCCTTATCTTGTTCACCACTCAGCTGTAGTGTCCAGAGTTAGGTGTGCACCCT